CCCCAAAACCCCAAAACCCCAAAACCCCAAAACCCCTAAATTTTCTTAATTTTTTGGTTTATAAAACTTTTCAGTAAAATGAAGTTCATTAAAGGACTTAGCTGCAGGAGGAAATTACCCCAAAGAAGAGTTAATCCTATCGAGAGGGTATCTTCAGCAGTCATGAAAGGTAAGCCATTCACAGTGTGTTGTTTCTCTTCTAACTTACCATGGCCTTGCATTCAATAGATCACAGGGTGACTAAGAATAGACACATGAAGGAACATCCTAAATGGGTCTACATGAGGGCTAATTCTTTGGTTTACAAAAGAGCATTGATAAATATCCAGAGTAAGCATACTACAAAAAGTAAGGATGCTAGGATAAAATTAGATTTTGATAAAGAAATTTTAGGCAAAAGCAGATGGGACAACGTCTTCGAAGATCAGGATGAGTCTAAAGAGGAGGATAAGAAGTCACGCATAGAGACTACACTGAAAATGCTTTGTCCAATTTGTCACTTCTTAATAAATAAGTGTACTTCCGCTCCCTGTGGGCATACTTTCTGCGGATATTGTATTGATGAATACTTGCTCTTCAAGGATAAATGTCCTGTTTGAGAAGCGAGGATTGGAGATGATGATTTAAGAAACTCCCCTACTATCGACTCTGCCGTAGAGGTGACTCAAAAGCTCTCAAATTTTTCTGATGATGAATTTCACTGGAGAAGGCAAAGAGTTAAAGATTTGTATTTTGAAAGGAAGAAAATCGATAAGTCAATTTTTAAGAATTTTGATAGGTAAGGATATTTCACTTAAAATAGATCTGACAATATAATCAGGATTGATGCTAGAGATGCAGATGGCATATGGTGCAAGGCTGTAGTCAAAGGTTTCCTTTACACTAAGGACAAATGGATTACCATTGTGCATTTTATAGGATGGGATAAGGCCTTTGATAATGCAATTCCCATAGATTCTCCAAGGCTTGCAAAAGAAGGGTTCTATACTTCAAGGAGCATTCTCCCTCACTATGAAAACAATGATAACCCTTACAAAAAGTCTGTATTGAATCTGCCTGAGAATGAAGATTTTATCAATGTCATTAGGGTTTACAAAAATGAGTGACTAAAGGAGAAAGACCCACTGAAAACTTCTAATGAGACTAGTGATCAATTTCAAAAAGAATGAAAGGCACATGAGCATATGCTTTATAGACTACAAAGATGCACAGATATTCACAGAAGAAGAACGAGATATAACGGAAGAATTTATAGCATGAATTATAGAATACCTGTTATGAATTCTTACTCAAATTCTCATACTAGAGAGAGTTATACTCAAAGTTTTTCCTCAGAAAGTGAGTCTAGTCAGTCAGGATCTTAAGATTAACCTCTAATACCAACAAGCATAGCACCTAGTAGTAAGCCTAATAGTTGTATTGAAAAGACATTAAATTCTGCTTCCAAATTTTCACTCAAAAATTAAGAAAAATATATCTTCAATTAAGAATTATCGAAAAGGGGTTTTGGGGTTTTGGGGTTTTGGGG